AATAACATAAAATATCATTCAAATATAACATAAATTAGTCACTTGTCAATATTACTTTAAAATGAGGTGGATTGATTACTACATAAAGTGACATACCAGTAAAGGGAAGTACTTTGACAGCAATAAAACCCATAATATAACCCATTAATTGAAATGGCATGTAACTTATTAGAAATATTGCAAACAGGAATAACTTCCCTACAGTATAAATTAAAAAATAAACATCCAACAAAGGGATTAAATGCACATCCTCAATAAAGATGTGCAAGATTACATCTATAAAAAGGATGGGGCATAGTATCAAGAGAAAGACAACCACTCATGACATAAATTGTCATATTTGACATCAAGCGAAAACTACGAAATTAAGAAATCCATGAAAGGAATTGAAATCCCATTAAGGAATAACCAATTTGCTACAGCATTTCTATACCATAATTGTTGAGGAAGATTTATCTAATAACATTGTCCTTCCATCAACAAAGCATAGTGACAGGGTGCATAATTGATATTAAATTTTTGTATAATTTTTCCCTTAATTTTAGCCAAATATTATTTTAATTGATAGATTCTACTTATATTTGGTTAATGGGGCTAATTGTAGGAAAATGAACAAAACGTGATTAAAAGAGCAATTTTCCAGTATGTTAAGAGTCAATTTGATAGTGGCACGATTGAAACCTGCTTTCAAGTCCAAAAGACTCGAGAATTTATTGCGCACGGGGATTTCCTAGTTCGAGTCAACTATGGACAGCTTTTGATTGAAGATTTGGAAATTTCTATTATCTTTATTAGTTTTAGTATTGGACTAGGAAACTTGGAATATTATCTTTTATAGTTTCTTTTTCTATTTAGAAAACATGTTTTTATTATGAGTAGTAGATGCGAAGTAGGAAACAAAGAATAAGGGAAGTCAGCTTTCTCCCGTTTGATTTGTACTTCAGAGGGTAGAAACATCAAGCGTCGACAAGCAGAGAGAATTTTCTTCTTTTTTTCTTTTCCATTGTTTTATTTTCCATTGTGGAACTTCATGCAATTTTTCACCAATGGAATTGCGTGGGTTACTCTCAATGGAGAGTAACTAATTTTCTTTTCTAGTCAAGAAATAAAAAAGAATTTGGTTTATCTACATCCGTGAGATCTAATTGGTTTTATTAATTTTTTTATTCGTTAGTATTCATATGTTTTCTGATTTAGTTTCTCATCCTTGTTTTGTTGTTTGAATATCAAGAATCCGATATTTAATTTAACTTGACAAACTAATGTTAATTAAGATAGCTAAATCCGTAATTATTTAATTATTTTAAATTAGTGACGACTAACGTGATTGGTTCCATGTTAGGGAGATACACAATTTGATTTAAATAAACTCTGGTAGTGTGTTTATTGATTAGAGCGGGGTGTTTCTAGTTCCTAATGCAATCAAGGGATTAAGTTCTATGAGCTTACCTAGTGTTATTTCTTGATTAGGGAAGTAGTTAGCGGGCTTACCTTAACTATCGAAATAGTAAGGAAAAGTTGGTTGTCATCACTTGTTTTGCAACTATAACTTGTTTATTAACAAATAAATGAAATAATTATTGCATCAATGATCAGTTGTATAAACCACTTACGAAGTTGTAACCTTGGCTAGAGCTTGTTAATCCTTGATTTAATTTAATTTACTTTCATTTAATTATTTTTATTTTCATTGAGTATTTTATTTTAATCTTAATTCTCTAAAACCCCTTGATTGGCTTCACTTGGAAAGAAACAGATTTTCTCCCTAATTCCTATGGAGACGACCCTACTTACCATTATACTCGAATAAATATTTTGTGAGTTGAATTTTATTATTGCACAAACCCGACACTTATCACATAGATTATTCTTTTGCTACAAAAGCAATTTTTAATAGCATTTCTCCAATTAATTTTGGAAAACTAAAACCATACTAAAATGGTCAAAGACATGAAGATAATAGGAAGAAATATAGTCAATAGTATTAGATCCGGTCCCATTGTTTGTTGATTCTCCTTGATCGCTTCATGACGTTCTAAGTCAAGTGATGGAGAAATCTTGAGTAAAAGGTCAACACAAAAATATAGATCTTACTCTGATACCATGATAAATTTTAGAAAATGGTGTTGTTATTTATGATGTTCCACTTCCAATGTCATTGACATTGTTAAGAGTTTATAGGAATTGCCTTACAAAGATAATGGTTAGAAAAAATAAAATCATATCAAACTAAAGATCAAATTACAAGATAAAATCCTATCAAACTAGAATTCAAATTATAAATCAAATAATTTGATCCAACAGCTTATTATATAAGATGTTGTTAAAATTAAAAACTAAAAACTAACTAACCTCATCATGATAAATTTTAGAAAAGGGTATTTTTATTCATGATGTTTCAATGTCATGGACATTGTCAAGAGTTTATATAGAAACTAGTGTAAATACCCGTGCTACGCATGGTGCTGACATTATTAAAAAAATGAAAATAAAAGGGTGAATTAAAAAAGGTTAAAAAATTGTACCAACACAATTAAAATATAATATCTGTCTAACAATAGTTTGAAATATGATAGAATGTGTATATTATTCAAAAATTATCTTTTTTCGGAAGATAGATCCTAAAAAAATAATAGAAATTTATATTAGAAAATGAATGATTTATGAATAAAAATGAATGTAATTAAATGTTGTTAAAATAAAATACTTACATGTATTATGCATTCGATTTGATAATCTTGCATGAAGGTGCGAACACTCTTCACACCAATCAACTTTTAGTACGAAAGCCAAAATTGGTGATTTAATTAATTTTGTTGAATTTTGTGGAATGCGTAGTACAAATGAAAATGTATGATCTTTGCATGAATTGATTCGTTGGTTGAACAACCTATCAACATTGTCTTGAGAATTAAGTACGTGCGAAATTCAAAATTAATGTATTTTTTTACATAGTTTATAAATAGCATTATAAAAAATAAACATATATCAAGAAATTCTACCTTCCTTTGTAATTCTCTGAGATAAGAAGCATTACAATCAAATATGAATCGTGCATGTCTGTCCTGCAGATTAAGATGCATGTTACCACTGGAATCTTTGATTTGTATGTTAACATTGTACCTGTTTGACAAATAAAATGTTATATACAATACAGAAAATTTTGTTGAAATTAAAGGTACATGAAATTAATTACCTAACAACAGTGTCGACCACGTCATTACAATGCATACACATTATTTTTGAAAAATGACCTTCACATAGTTATCCACATTTTTTGCATAACTCATAGAACATGTTTTCTATGTTAATGCTCTGAATGTAAGCAAGTATTCAAAAATATTTAACCTAATAAGAATGAAAGAAGGTATAGGTTATGATTATAAATTAAAAAATTTGTGCAATAATTAAATTAAATAGAGTAAGTTTACCGTGCGCATGATTGTATATTCGGATATCCATATTCTCTTTGAATTTACTATCAACAATGCTTGTGATGTTGTAAAATTGCTTGACCTCAACCACGTAACTAACTTTCGAGCACATGTATCATTTTCAAACCTACAATTTTTTGAAATATATGTTGATAAGAGTATGAATCAACATTAAAAGTTTAATGTAGTGTTACGGATGGAACTCATCAACCGCGAAGTTATCGAGCAAAATCTAAAATGTGATTGATATACAATTTGCTAACTCCAATTGTACAAAGTGATGGTCCTGCATAGTATGGTTATATTCGCTAAAAAACTATTCAAATTATATAGAGTATAAGTAAAATCATTTGATTTACCTCTGAAATTTCGGACGCAAATACTACATGCTAGTAAAATATTATTTTTTTTGTAACAGACTGATATTATAGAATTTATAGTATATTCAATAACTTGATACTCAAATCACCGATGAGGCAAAGTTTGTCTAAATAAGCTTTACAGTGTCCTAACTCCTTGCAAAAAAAAAAAGCACTAAATAGTCCTAATTGGCATCGCAAGTTACGGCAACGTGCCCGTGCCATTTAGGCCTATTTTTTTTTTTTTTGGTCAAAATCTAGTCCTAACTGGTTTTGTTGTTGCTTGATCATGTTGTATGCTTGCGAATTAAAATTGTATTAAAATAGCATGTGAATGAGCATTTGTCTTTAATTAAGGAGTAAAAAGGATTTAAAGTATAAATAACAAACTATAAACGGTTTATGAAGTAGATTATGGGAAAGTTTTAAATTTTAAATTTGAGTGGTGATAGGGTTGGTTATAACCCACTACTTTTTATGTATTAAAATAAATATAAAAATCTATAACCCACTACTTGTTACGTTCTTGGGATTTTTTTTAGAGTTAAATATAGTAAACCCCTTAACTTTACATTTAGTTGCACTTTACCCCCTTAACTTTAATTTTAGTTGCACATTTGTAATTTTTTGAAACGTGATTGTAATTTACAAAGCTCATTTGTAGGGGTGGTTATAGGGTTAGTGTGGTGTCAAATATTTCTTAATTATAAAAATGCAACATTGTATTAAAATAGCATACGAATGAGCATTTGTCTTTAATTAATAAGTAAACAGGATTTAAAGTATAAATAACAAACTATAAACAGTTTATGAAGTAGATAGTGGGAATGTTTTAAATTTTAAATTTGATTGGTGATAGGGTTAGTTATAACCCACTACTTTTTATGTGACAAAAATACACCCCAAGACTAAAGTCATGAACTTCTACGTGTCGGACACGAACTCTTTAACTTCTAAACAATGACCAGAAAATCAACCAGCCAAAGCAAATTAGTTCTCACAAGTCTTTCTCAGCAGTCGGGAAGCCACTTCGAGACAGTCGACTTCAGTTTTGGTCTGGGTTTTTGATTCTTGTGGTCAACATTGATAAATCAACTAAATCAGTTAATGAAAATTAATTCGAAAGAATTTCTCTGGAGCTATTTAAAGTTTTGGTTCTGCAAAATTTTACAACTGACAAAGGGAAAGAACCTAACCAAGAACAGATATGGAGAGGTTGGAGATGGAGAAAAGGCTTCTTGATGCTGCCTTAGAAGGCGATGAAAAGACTCTATATGAGTTGCTTAAAGAAGACAAACTGGTGCTTCATAGAGTTTCTCCTTCGTCCCAATTTCAATCCTATACAAATAGCGATAATTCGAGGGCATCAAAGATTTGTTGAAGCAATTTTGGATCATAATCCTGAGCTATTGGGGAACCTTGAATATTCAGGTCAAAAATGGTCGTCCCTTCACTTGGCATCAGTTAGAGGTCATCCGAGAATTGTTGAAGCATTGGTAAATGCTAATCCTGATATGTGTTTCGATTGTGATCAAGATGGAAGGAACCCTCTTCATGTTGCTGCCATGAAAGGCAAAGTTGGAGTGTTGGAACTGTTGGTTCATGCAAGGCCTTTTGCAGCTCGGGAAAAGACTAAACGTGGGGAGACCATCTTGCATTTGTGTGTGAAGTATCATCAGTTCGAAGCACTGAAGAAGGTGGTGGAGGCCGTGGATGATGATGAATTCTTGAATCAAAAAGATGGTGAAGGCCTTACCATATTGCATTTGGCTGTTATTGGCAAGCAAATTGTGGTACGACAATGTTAGGTGACATAGGTGCCTGCGGATGAGACGATTTTCATTTCGTGTTTTCTTTCATAAATAACATTAACTTTTTATGTTTTACTTTGCACCCTTCACCTATGCTCAGATTTTTTCTTTAGTTTTTCAATTTAAGATGTAACACTTTCGTCCCTAAATATAAAATTTGTCCCAATTAAATAAAAGGGTCGATAGAAGTGAAATAGTAGATTTTATACTTAAATAGGACACAATTTATACTTTAAGGATTAAAGTGAGACAGATTTTATATTTTAGAGACAAATTTGATATAAATTTTATATTTAGGACTAAAATATTCTATTTTAAAGTTTAATCAGTAAAGTGAGAATTTAGTTTTTGTACTCCGCCCTCTCTCTAAATTTTTATATCCATTCACTTTTATTATAATTCGTTTCTTTTCTCCACCCTTTCTTGCATTCGTTTCACACCCTATATAGTAATAGAATGTTTCATCAATCTTGAATAGACCATTAATACTCAAGGTCAAAGAGTACAACTGTGACTTGGCAACCGAGTGATCATAAAACCTCTAGATTCATAATTTTTAGGTCCATTGAATGGCAGTATTCACCCTTGAAATTAACAATTTTGCAACCAGTAGCATCATAACCATAAGAATATTACATTAAATTGGTTTCACAAAATTAGTCTAACAATACCCAAATACTTGTCCCCATTCTACTTGAGCCCTTTTCCTTTGAGGATTTCAATTAAATACATCTTTTACCATATTGTCCTCATTCTACCTGAGTCTTGCAATAAAATTACACAATTAGCTTGTAGGATCCAAGGTTTCACTAGTCCATTTCAATCCACTTAAGGATAAAATGATCATTTTAATTTTTTTTACACCATATTCCAACTTGTTTACACCATAGAAGCAAACTGGTTTGAAATGAACTTGTGAAGCTGATCCCCTTAGCTTGTATGGGAGAATCTTTAATATGCAAGCATTTCTTTATGCTTTCCATTTCACTGTCTGGATAACAATGGAGAAAAGTGATGAACCATATAGGAGCATATCTAATGCTAAAATTAAAAATAAAGAGTATATATTTAGTGCTGATAATGCATTTGCCACATATTATCAAATATTTGCTTACTACCAAAATAGATCTCAATGCTAAAAATGCAAAAGGGCACACAGCATTGAATATGGTTCTACAGAATCCCAATAATAGGCAAAACGAGATCAATAACTCTCTTCGACAAGCAGGTCCATTAACAGATGATGAAATCACAAATCGGCAATCAAATTTTGATCAAGGAAAATGGATGGAACAGAAAAGCAAAAGCACTAATGATAGTTGCATCGCTTATTGCAAATATGGCTTTCCAAGCTGGCATAAACCCCGCGGGAGGAGTTTGGCAACCCTCTTCATCTTGCAGCCGTCAAAGCCAGAGTTGAGGTTCTAAAAATGTTGGCTGATGCGAGACCGTTTGCATCCAGAGAAAACCTACCAAACATAGGGAGACTATTTTGCATGTGTGTGTGAAGTATAATCAGTTAGATGCTCTGAAGAAGCTGGTGGAAATTGTGGATGATGATGAGTTCTTGAATCGGAAGGATGGTGATGGCCTCAGCATACTGCATGTGGCTTTTATTTCCAAGCAAATTCAGGTATTACCAACAACAATTTGAATATATTAATTTTGATGTCAAATTGATTATGTGTTCCTTCTTCCTCTTTAAGGAAGGGATTGGCGAGAAAAAGCAAAATGAAGGCATTAGTCGGACACGGCTTTCTTGTAGACTTGTACAGCGTGAAAAATAAAGTTTGGAGGGGGGAACCAAATGAGTCTGTTTTTTTGGTATGTCACGGTCTAAGTAAATCAAAAAATCCACTCAAGTCTTGGCCTTATCAATACCCTTAACCATTAGATCACCTTAAACTCTTTAACTATTTTGTTAAATGATGTGTTCCTTTTCAAATTGTTGAGTATTTCTCTTTTGTTCTATCCATGTTTAAGCATAAAATTTATATGTATTACTTTCAATTTGTCTGATCGGAGGAGCACAATGATAGTGGTATTATATGCCAGTAAACCAAGCGTGCAGAACTTAAATATGCCCAATTTGCCTAATTGGACTCCCAAGCAAAATACTAAAAGTTCATAGAGAGAGTGAAGAAAATTTAGAAGAAAAAGGAGTAGGAAAAGAAAAAAAAAATGAAATCTATACCTAAATTTTAGTTATCAGATGCTCTATGGGTTTTAACAGAAACCCATTTCTGTTAACTAATTAATGATAATGATTGATGAACATTTATCAAACGGTTCATAAAAATCTCGCTACAGATATTTATATTGTAACGTTCTTGTGACTATTTACATAGCTAATGCTGCGTATAATTTTTTGAGCTATCATATCAATTCCTCTTAAATACAGCATATGTTCATTATTTGAGTTGGAGTTAAATGGAAAACTTGCCGTAACTAAATTTTGAACATTTGCAAAGAAATTATTGGCTAATCCCCAGATTTAACTTTCATCACACATCATCATCATCAACGACTTTCTGTCCACCAAACCACGCCTTAGGTCGTACTTAATTTGATTCAAAAGTTGAATACAAAACCAAGCACGTAAAGTGTGACAAAAATACACCACAAGACTAAGTCATGAACATTTATTATTCGTTGACAAAACTGTAAAAATGGTTTGAGAATCATCTCAATCCGATCATTGAAGCTCAATTATAGCTGAAATACGAAAATGTGTCAAAGCTGTCAACTTTCCTTTTCATCCAAATGAAGTACATTTCCAACTCCTATACAAATTATGGACCAAATTCAAGTAAAAAGTGACAAAAACCTCATTTAATCACTTGAAAGAATTTTAAACTAATTATAGTCAAAATAATCCATTTTCTTCCTACAGTATTTCCAAAGTGACTAAAAATAACATAAAATATCATTCAAATATAGCGTAAATTAGTCACTTGTCACATTTGCAAAGAAATAATTGGCTAATCCCCAGATTTAACTTTCATCACACATCATCATCAACGACTTTTTGTCCATTTTTTGCTTGAAAAATTTTTTGTTCATTTTCTCTGTAGGTCCACCAAAGCACGATTTAGGTCGTTCTTAATTTAATTCAAAAGTTGAATACAAAATCAAGCACGTTCTCAATTTAATTGAAAAGTTGAATACAAAACCAAGCACGTAAAGTGTGACAAAAATACACCACAAGACTAAGTCATGAACATTTACTAATCAAATTCGTTGACACAACTCGGCTCTCTCTGCAGTCAGCACCCCACTGCTAGAAAGTCAACTAATGCTTTAGTCTGGGTTTTTGAATATTGGGCCTTGCGACTTTCCGGTCTCTCATGGGTGCCCTGGGAAAACCGTAATGGAGTCAACTTTGATACATCAACTGAAACAGTTAACAAAAATTAACTCGATATAAACTTTTGGTTCTGCAAAATTTTACATTTAACAAAGGGGAAGGACCTAATCAAGAACAGATATGCAAGGGTTGGAGATGGAGAAAAGGCTTCTTGATGCTGCCATAGAAGGCGATGAAAAGACTCTACATGAGTTGCTTCAAGAAGACAAACTGGTACTTCATAGAGTTTCTCTTTCTTTTTCCAATTTCAATCCTATACAAATAGCTATAATTCGAGGGCACCAAAAATTTGTTGAAGCAATTTTGGATCATAATCCTGAGCTATTGGGGAGCGTAGAAGATTCAGGTCAAAAATGGTCGTCCCTTCACTTGGCATCAGCTAGAGGTCATTTGAGAATTGTTGAAGCATTGGTTAATGCTAATCCTGACATGTGTTTCGATTGTGATCAAGATGGAAGGAACCCTCTTCATGTTGCTGCCATGAAAGGCAAAATTGGAGTGTTGGAAGTGTTGATTCATGCGAGGCCTTTTGCTGCTCGGGAAAAGACTAGACGTGGGGAGACCATCTTGCATTTGTGTGTGAAGTATCATCAGCTGGAGGCATTGAAGAAGTTGGTGGAGGCCGTGGACGATGATGAATTCTTGAATCAAAAAGATGGTGAAGGCCTTACAATATTACATTTGGCTGTTATTGGCAAGCAAATTGAGGTACGACAATGTTTGGTGGCATAGGTGCCTGTGAATTAGATTATATTTTTATTTCGTGTTGTCTGTCATAAACAATGTAGCTTTTTATGTTTCACTTTGCACCCTTCCATCTATGCTTAGATTTTCACTTTAAGTTTTAGACTTTAAAATGTAACACTTTATTTTTTAAATATAAAGTTTGTCCCAATGAAGCAAAATAGTTGATAGAAGTTGAACAAATTTCATGTTTAAATAGAACATAATTTATACTTTAGAGATTAATGTGAGATGGGTTTTATATTTTTAGGGACAAAACTTGATATAAATTTCATACTTTAAGAATTAAAATATTTTGCAATATTGCAATTAAAGACAAACTTAACAATTTTGCAAGGAATATTTCTCTTACCATAGTATCATAACCATAAAAATATTATTCTAAATTGGTTTCACACAATTAGTCTAACAATACCCAAATACTTGTCCCCATTCTACTTGGGACCCTTTTACTCTAAGCATTTCAATTAAATATATCTTTTACCATATTGTCCTCATTCTACTGGGGTCTCATAATCGAATTACACAATTAGCTTGTAGGATCCGAGGTCACACTAGTCCATTTCAGCCCACATAAGGGTAAAATGATCATTTAAAAAAAAAATTTTACACCCAATTTCAAATAGTTTACACCATAAAGGCAAACTAGTTTGAAAATGGAACTTGTGAAGTTCATCCTCTTGGCTTGTATAGGAGAATCTTTAATTGGCGCAAGCATCTCTTGATACTCGTCGTCTGGATAACGATGGAGAAAGTGATTAACCTTATAGTAGCATGTTTCTAATGCTGATTATGCATTTGCCACAGATCATCAAATATTTGCTTACAACCAAAATAGATATCAACTCTAACAATGCAAAAGGGCACACAGCATTGAATGTGGTTCCACAGAATCCCAAGGTTAGCCAAAAGGAGATTGAAAACTCTCTTCGACAAGCAGGGGCATTAACGGCTGATGAAATCACAAATCAGCAATCAAATTTTGGTCAAGGAAAATGGATGGAACAGAAAAGCAAAGCGCTAATGGTAGTGGCATCGCTTATTGCAAATATGGCTTTCCAAGCTGGCATAAACCCCGCGGGAGGAGTTTGGCAAGATGATCAAACAGAACAATCGCAAGGAAATCCTTCACTAAATAATCCACATAAAGCAGGAAAATCCATCATGGCTTATCACGACATTCTGATTTATCGATGTTTCATTACTCAAAACACCATTGCATTTGTTTCATCTCTGGGCACAATCTCGCTGCTTATCAGTGGGCTTCCCTTCAGGCGCAAGGTCTTCATGTGGATCTTGAATGGGGTTATGTGGTTAACTGCAAGTTCAATTATATATAGTTATGGATTATCAATAGGTTTTGTGACACCAGATCGTGAGGTTAAAAGAGAAAGGCCTTATGCTGTTGCAACTGTTGCATGGATGTTTGTGATAACAATCTATCTTCTGGGAATAAGTGGTGTTACAAAAAAGAGGTGGAATCTCTGCGGGAGAATAAAATGGAGACCGAGAAATAGTGCGAGTGCAGTGGTTGAAAACCACAGAAATAGTAGTAATCGAGTAGAGCTTCAAATATAGTTTTCTTAAGGACTGAACTCCACTTTCCACCCCCGAATTGTACTACTTTTTTAGTATGCACCTGAAATATTAATTTTAGATAATTTGCACCCCAAGCTATAAAGTTTGATTCATTTAAGTCCAATCGATGACAATATTAGCAAAATTAAGAAATAAAAGAACATACAAATCTATGATAATAGCCAAAAAGTGGTCAAAATGAGTCCAGGGATGACAATCAGAATAAAATGAAACATTATCATTAATTTACACATTCTTTATCTCATTAATTTTGCTAAACCATACAAATCAATGGTAATGTACTGAAAGTGGTCAAAAAAAATTAGAAGGTCATTGTTAGAATAAAATGATATATTGTCATTAATCTGCATTGTCCTTTATTTTGCTAATTATTTTGTTAACATTATCATTGATTGGATTTAAATGGGACAAATTTGTGAGTCGAGGTTCATAGAGAGTAAAGAAAATTTAGAAGAAAAAGGAGTAGGAAAAGAAAAAATATATAAAATCTATACCTAAATTTTAGTTATCAGACACTCTATGGGTTTTAACAGAAACCCATTTCTGTTAACTAATTAATGATAATGATTGATGAACATTTATCAAATGGTTCATAAATATCTTGAGAATCTCGCTACAAATATTTATATTGTAACGTTCTTGTGATTATTTACATAGATAGTGCTGTGTATAATTTTTTGCTCTATCATATCAATTCCTCTTAAATACAGCATATGTACATTATTTGAGTTGGAGTTAAATGGAAAACTTGCCGTTAACTAAATTTTAAACATTGTGACGGGAATTTTAACATAAGTTCAAGTTTAAATTCAATTTATACCCGTTTTAACTATAAGTATACAGGTCAACTAGTAATTTAAGGCATATATCGGGTTGATCCCACGAGAAAGATTGGACAATTACCGGCACTATTAAAACTTCTCTATTATTTAGACGAACAATGAATTAAAAGAGATAAAACTATGCTAAACTTATGCAAGAAAATAGTAAATAAAAATTCCATAGGTTATGGTATTCCTAACTACTCATGCAAGTGCTATTTTTGGATCATTGAATACTACTATCTTGGCTAGTTAT